TGTGTACATTCTATCATGGCACAATACATCCCTATGTTTAAAGTTGTGTATATTTGTAACGTTTGCATAATAAGATGTACTTGTAAAGAGAAGCAAACGACAATACAATTTTACTATTTGTGTGTCCTTTGCTTCTCTCACCATTTCGTTTTAGTTGCCTGGAAGAGATTGCTTGTTAGGTACAACTTAGTTTACTTACGGCCAGACATATTGCGTTTATAGTTAATAGTGTTTTACTTAAATGTCTACTCGCGTAAACTACAGACAATATAGACATCGATTCTAAAGTATGTCTGTATTATTTTGTAAATAAATGTTAATATATCGTCCAGCAGTTAAGATATACGCTGTGCTACTTATAAGTAAGGTACATAAGAATTATTTTGCCATATTAGCTTAAGTAGTTTAAAACATGTTTGTCCCTAGTTAGTAAGCCTTATAAAATAAATAAAATAAAGTTTAGCTCTACGCTTGGCCCATGAAAAGAATGCAGTGACGTCATCCACATTCAAAAACAGCATAATACCCAATAATTATAAGTTACTCCGTTTAATTATACGATGAACATTGTACTCGATACCGCCCAATATTCAGTCTTAAGTACTCACCTGTCTTTCACGTGTATAGAGCTTTTGTTTATGCCTCTATGAGAACCGTTTAATGAATGAATGATTGAACGATCCGAGACGGAATACGTAATTAAGCTGTATTGAGCGGTTCAATTTTTATTTTGACAAAACGAATCGTTCAAATGTTTGTGTTGATCATTTTCAACCGTAATGTTTTATATTAAAATTATCCGATTTTTTTTTAATCAGTAAATATTCTAAAAGCGGAAATATATTTGTTACTTTGTCCTTCCTTTTATTTACATCTTGATAAATAATAAAATTTATTTAATCTTGATAAACAGCGTTTAAACTTTTTTTTTACTGAAATTCGTTATTGTACTTTATTAAATAAAAACACTTTAAAGTTTAGTTAAACTAATATATCGCGTTTTAAACCGAAAAAGTGTTTTATTTAAATGTGTACTACTCGTGTGAACTATAGACGGTATTTCGTTATTGTATTTTTTTTATGTTTCACACAGGAGAGATTCGAACCACCGAACACACCAGAGAGGAATTAACGAAATGAATAATATACCATAAGTGTAATAAATTACAACTTGCCAAATTCCCTCTTCATCAGACAGTAATTAGATTTGATTGCAATTTGTATTATAGATTATCATTTGTTCGTAGACATATTTACTTCAATGTATATTTTACTCAATTTGATAGATGAGGTTATGTCTACATAATCTATATATAAATTATGAAGACATAACCTCGATTATTTATACTCTATATCTTATAAAGCTGAACAAATTATTTCTTTGATTGAACTCGTTATTAACTTGCAAGATATTAACAGTTAGTTATAATTTATAAAGACGAGGTTAGCAAATTTTGATGTCCAAAATAAATATATTACGCGGACGAAGCCGCTGACACAGCTAGTCTATATATAAAGGCATAACGATTATTATGAATAAATGTAATCATTATTATAACGTCCAGCGGACCCGTTACAAGAATTAAATAGCGCAGCCATATGGCGAACGGAAGCTCGTCTCGTCTGTCAGCCCTTTAATATTATAATGAAAGGTATTCCTTTAGTGGCCATTACAAAGGAGACAATGAGATACAAGATGACGGCCCATCCGCTCACTGATTCACTCTTGTTTCGGACTTGGGTGCTTAAGTGTAAAATGTTTTTATTTTTCATCGATTAAAGCTTAGATGGCAACGAAGAGGACAGACTGTATCTGTCGAGAATTAAATAATTCATATTAAATATATAATAGAGCTTTTGGTTCGCTTTTTAAACTGTTGAAAAGTGTTTTATTTTTGGCAGATAAAGTGGTATTTTCCGAGCCTGGATGTACGGAATATAGAGATATGTCGGTACTTAATAATTCATAAAAAGAATGCAAAGAAACATTATACAGATATAGAGTGTTTTGGATCACGTTTTAAACCCGTGAAAAATGATTCATTTAAAAACTTGGTATTCGTATAATATTTTACCTCCCACCTTCTGTAACAAAGCTCTTACACTAAATTGAAAAAAATGAACAACAATTGTAAGTATGTATCCAAAAAACGCAGGCATAGCCAAGCAGTTCAGTTTTTATGGTTATTTTGCAAGATTTCATTTTCAATATATCTCTAATTATTTTATAAGCTCAAGTTTATTATGTAAAAGTAACTGTTAATTCTTTATTAAGCTTTTCATTCTAGCAAAAATAATAATAAAATAACAAATAACCACGTGTACTTATATAATACTAGCTGTGCCCGCAATTTCGTTCGCGTAGAATAGTAAAAGTCACTATTCTACGGGTTGAATTTTTAATAATTAAGGTTGTTTATTTATTTATAAAAGGGCGCATTCAAGGCAGCTAATCTATGTGGTAAGTGCTAATTTGCCGCAACACTCCCACTCTCACCGGACATCACTTATACTCTAACTCCCACTCTCATTCCCAAAAAGCCAAAGAAAAAAGTTGTTCTAGCTTCAAAAATAACGAATTTTCATATAAACGTTGATCCCCCTTTTCAACCCCTAAGAACCCTTTTTTGGCATTAAAAAGTAGCCTATGTCCTTTTTCAGGCTCTAGAATATATGTGTACCAAGTTTCATTTAAATCAGTTCAGTAGTATCGACGTAAAGCCGCACAGACAGACAGAGTTACTTTCGCATTTATAATAACACTCGTGAGTACTCCACACGTTAAAAACTTAATAAATATTACTAATGAAAAAATAAACAGCGAAGCAATAAATACGCTAAATTTATGGAAGAGCTAAGCTGCAAATAATTCGATTATGACGTTAATACCAAGTGTTTTATTTCGACGTGTTTTATTAGTATCTAGCAATATTTTCTCAGCGAAGTACTAAATAAAAGTCATATTTAAGATATAAGGTATTAGTTCTGTTTAAGAATGAAACGTTTTACTGCGTAACACGGACAATCGCGACCCAAACGGTTTTACAGCGAGCGGTTAAAAAGCTTCGTGTTAACCCGGCTGCAATTACACCGTAATGTTACTTAAACTTAAGGAAACCCTAGTTATAACTCTATGTTCCTTTTCATTCAAAACTCACTTGTCACTCTTAGTAAAGTAGTGCGTATGACAGCAGGTACTGTGGAATGCATACTTGACCTGTCTTTGTATTGCCAGAGACCGCGGTAAAGTTATAAATAAAAAATTGGTTGCATTTCACTGTCGGTAATTCATGCGTCAATTCCATAATTTTTTTCAATTGTTTTATAATATTTATCTTGTTATGCTATGCTGAAATATATCGCGTTTTAAGTCGTTAAAGTATTTTATTTAAATAAGAACCCAGTATTTAAATTCAAATAAAGATCGAACTGAAAGATGATATTATACGTTCTATAATTAAACCGAATGGAATATCTTCGGAGTGATTCACATAAAAACTTTATTACACATCGGTCTGACACCAGGCCACCTTTAAAATTGAAAGTGACGTAAGTGCTGTTTTAGTACGCAATCGCCGAGCGAAAGTCGTAAATCAAAGTTTTAGTGGCGAAATGTTGTGATGCGCTGCCCACTGGTCACTGGGGTGGCCGGAGTCGAAGATTTTTCAACAAAAAAAAATTAAAGAAACAATACAACAATGTCCATTCGCTGGCAACATTGGATATTGTTCGTGGACTGACGAATGGTAAAAATACAGAATGGCACAATATAAAATGACTTACGCGTACTTTAGCGTTGACTTTGTGAAAATTTGTTATGCTCTTGCGCAGAAGCCGTTTATTTAAATAGTGATTGCTGCAAATTGTTTAAGCTTAGATGCTTCGGTTCATCATCAGCTCATTTTAATAGTTAAGCCGCCTCTGTGTCTTAGAAGTAAATGTTGTGTGTGTGCGTTTACTGCTTACCCAGATTTTAACACATCAGTGTTAGCAGTCTTACGTTATATTAGAATTTTGAGAAAACGTGTTTATTACTTTTATACAACTCTTATATAAGAGTTAATATATATTAAGGGTATATTTTTAAAGGGAATACTTGCAGCATTAAATTGTTATTTGTTTTCACATATGTGTATGAAAATTTCACATTTTAAACCGTTAAAAATGTTGTATTTATATAACGTGTTGCAACCTTAATACATACGACTGAATACAAAAGGCCATTACAAGATGTATATTAAATGCGGTTTCGATTAAATTAGTCTGTGGTCTTGAAATAAATGTGTAGTAGTCACATAAATATATTTTTTTTATTCATCACCGATTGCATTAAAGTTGTGTTGGTTTAGTGTTGTATGGATCCAATTTCTGTATTGTAGGTAGTTCGATCACTGTTTGTGAACTGACACATACTTTTCAGTGATTCACAACATTGTGAGCAAATTGGTAATTCTTAGAAACGATTATACAGATCTGAAATCGTGAAGCGCATCTTGCTTGTATGTGAGGCTAGGGTACTTCCATTAAGTCTGTTTTATCTATTATCTTTTATTATAAAAATTCCACATATATGGAGAGGCAATAAGCATAAGTTATATCACCTTGAGACAAATCAATGAAGCTGTTTGAATCTTTGTGCATTCCACATGTTATTTTTCAAGAGAGCTTTTACAACTTAAGTATTTTACATGGCTTTACGATTCTTTGTTTTTGTAGTTGCAGCTATCAATTAAGAGCAAAGACATGTTAAAACTCCAAACGCGATAGCTCATAACAACCAGATCTGCTTATCACTTTTTGCTCGACAATAAATGTAATATACACTTAACTCACATCTCCTTATAAGTAGATCGAGAAATAAAACCGAGGGCAGAGCACATCAAGAAATAACATCATTATCATAGCGAGTCCGCCATCTCTTTCCGATAGCTCTCATCCCTCCTTCGCCCCGCCCATCGCGTATCGCTTCTGTCACCTGAATATCTCGAAACATTACACATATGCAAAATTCTCTCGCGTCTCCCAACGAGGCACGCACACAGGCGCCAGTATGCACCCTGCGCTACGCCCGTGTTGCCAGTATAAATCTGCGAGATAAAAATTGCGCTATACTACATTCTGGTGTCGTCTTTTTTGCTGAGATAGCCGTAGGCGTGCCTAGTGAGTTGTTTGCACCTCGAACAGTGGTCGATATTTCACAATGCCGTGTCATCGACACGACTGCACTGAAATATGGACGCGGCTAGGTTATCTCCACGGAATGCGAACTTTTCTGTTGCTGACGCTACTAATGCGATATGCATGTCTCCGTGTGTTATTTATGTTAAAACAAAGACGTACTCGAGTTTTATGTAGGAAATCGAAAATAAAGTTTCGAATCATACCGGATTTTTCCAATAAGCAATAAATGTATACAACTCAAATTCACTAAAATTTACCTTAGCTTCAAATATATAAAAGTTAAGGTAAATACTGTCTATAGTTTACGCGAGTAGTACACATTTAAATAAAACACTTTAACGGTTTAAAACGCGATATATTAGTTAAACTTATTTGAAAATGATTTTTAACTTCGGCCCGACGTTTCGGATGCTTTGCAGCAGCCGTGGTCTCCCCGTGACCACGGCTGCTGCAAAGCATCCGAAACGTCGGGCCGAAGTTAAAAATCATTTTCAAATAAGTTTAACTAATATATCGCGTTTTAAACCGTTAAAGTGTTTTATTTAAAAGTTAAGGTAAATTTTACTGAATTACGTAAGATATTAATAAGAATCTATATAGAACTAGCGACCCACCCCGCCTTCGCTCGGGTGCAATGCTGATACGAAATACCTTTTCCTCTTGGATCACTCTGTCTTTAAAAAAGCACTTAAAAAAATCCGTTGCACAGTTTTAAAGATTTAAGCGGCCATAAGGACAGAAAAAGCGACTTTATTTTATATTATGTAGTGATGAAAACGTTTTACGACACGGGCAGAACTACGACCGGAATCCACAGCGTTCCATCCTGTTTCTCTAACCAATTGAGCTACCGTGTCCTACATAACAAAATTTTGATACGTAAGACATGTCTACCACTCTATTGGTTGTTATAGCGTCGTCTTGAAATCTATTCAGTAAATTTTTCGTTAAAATAGTGAGTTGGTCTATATAAGACGTCTGATATTCGTAAGGTCAAAAGTTCCATCTTTCACTGACCATATAAATCGAGGTAACTGACATGTCTCAGAAACAAACATTTTTGCAACATGTGTCAACATACACAGTTTAAGTAAGGCTCATATAATAAGACTTAGTTGTAACAGTTAGATTTCCGATGATCTTGGAAAGCTTAAATCAATACAGATCATACCGAAAATAATGCAACATTCTACAGCCACATTGATAGACACTATACATTCTGATATACACTGCAGCCTATTCAAATATCCACTTAAATATCGAATCACACTAGGCGATCATTTAGCGCACAATGCTGGCTTGAAATAGTGGTATTTAAGAGCAATCATTAAAAACATAGCATTGTATTGCGACAATTTTTCGTCCATCCGCTCTGTTTTCAATGCCCTTAACTATTTCAGTCACGAGCCGTGCTATAATTGTCCGCATTGTATGTGTAGCTGTAATGCATTGTAATTACCCTGATTCCGCATATTGTTCAATGCGTATGAGCGATCAATTGGCTGTTTGACACTTTGAAACCATACCTACCTGTCAAATCTTTTGCCATATGACTTGACTAGTGCTTCGACGAAAATTGGATGACCATAAGAACGATTCGTGTAAGTTAATTTTAAAAAATAGACACACAGTGACGCGGACTTTCACTCGATCATTTAAAGGAGAATATTTATCGGCATCTTGAACTTATTGCGGAGCACGAGTTTTTCTTCGTCTTTTCCACATTTCCTGTTGCTTCTTCACTCCTATTGGTCGTAGCCTGGTGTAAGCTAAACAGCCTTTCTTAATAAATAGTCTAATCTATACAACAATATTTGTTCCATTCGTGACCTTTACAACAATTACAAAACGAATTGTATATGATGCAATTAAATATAAATTAAAAGCATGATTCATTTAATAATTTGTACCAAAACAAAAATGAAACTAAGACGTCATCAAACCGGCAGTGATTATTAACAAAAGACAAGAGTAGCCTTGAAAACTTTTTGTCCGATAATTATAGATGATGGCCGTACTTATGTATAATTTCATTCCGTAATTATAATGTTTAGATAAACCGTAGCGCACACTGGCTATGATTACGTCCGCTTACCGTTCCTGTAATTAAACATTTTAATAACTAACCCCCTAAGCGATGTTTCCATTCACAACCTCCGGTTTATTTGTATTGTGTGATTAATTATTTATTGTATCTCTATTTCGATGTAGAACACACAGACAGACATATTAGAACTATTTGAAATTTTAGATTCATCTATTGAAGGACTACGAGAGTGCTACAGATGGCGCTGTTAGTTTTTTTTCAGTTTTACAATACGTTTAAATATACAGTAGCATCTCATATATTTTCGAATATAGTATTTCATTCATACTTAGCTTAATTCTTATTTTATTTAAAGTTTTTACAGGTAGATGAATCAGTTCTTAAGCATGTACCTGTAATTAACAATAACAGAAAATGAGAAAATAACGGATTTTTACATGTGCATTTAAAAATATGCTGTTCTTAATTTAAAATGACATGAGAATTATTTTAAATTACGAACTGTAAATACTATACTGTTCTTCAGGTTTTCGAGTGCAATCTGTAGAAAACTAAGTTTAATTCGGTTGTAAAGTTAAGTAAATTTCTGTCAAAACTTCGTTTAAAAAACTAACAATGGACACAGACAGCGTAGAAAAAATTAAAATAAACCTCAGTCAGCGTGTCACGCTTAGTTTCAATGAGTTCGCTGCACTAATTACAAGTCGACGACAATTTATTTCTCATTAGCCATGCGCGGTGGCCTTCCACGGATTTCGGTCGCCCACCTCGATAATAATTACGATTATTTTAATTTCGCTAATAACACTTTAATTACAGAGCGCGGTGAGGCCGTCGGCTTATAATGAATTTTTATCTGATGCCCGAGTGATTGTGTTGAAATTGTTGATTGCATCATTTTCCTTGTAAAATTGCTTTTTTATTGCTATAGTGACATGATTATCTATTTTGATAGACGTGGCGCGACTGTGTACGCACAAAGTTATACGGGGATTTGATTCGGGGTTGATAACATTCTTGTAACGCCAAATTCGTTGATTGTCTCTTTTGAACGGGCTCGTTGGTGTAATTGTAGCAATGTATAGCGAATAATTAACGGGCTGTGGGTTCGATCCCCACCCGGACCAAATGTTTCTAATTTTTCAATGTATAATTCAAAATTATTGTCTCCCCGTGATCACGACTGCTGCAAAGCATCCGAAACGTCGGGCCGCAGTTAAAAATAATTTTTCATATAAGTTTAACTAATATATCGCGTTTTAAACCGTCAACGTGTTTTATGTAAATGTGTACTATCGCGTAAACTATAGACAGTATTTATAATTCTTCTCAAACATGTTGGACTTAGTCTGGAAATCTGGATAATAAATGGGTGGGAGGAATATCGAAATTCCGTCTAAGTCACGAACCACCATCCACAGATGAAAACGCCGTGAAGTTTGACCAGCTTCGAATATCTTAAGCCAAAATAGGTTGACAGCCCATTTTTTTAGATGCTATAGGCTGAGGTATTTCCCCAACCATCAAGTGGAACCCATACTAGTCTGTCTTCCTCTATGATTAAAAAAATATGAACTCCACGCTTGCTGGGTGCCTCTGTTCTTAAAACAAGATCTCTAAAACAAAATACAACTACCGCATAAACAAGGAACTTCTTTATACCAGAAAATGAACTTAGACAATTAACACATACATAAATCGACCGGATCAAAGAATTATCAGCAGGAAAAACGTCCAGTCGTTAAGGGCGATTTGCGCCTTTTGAACGTCCCCACATATTGGCTTTGTCTAACCGGAGTTTCAATTCGTAGCCCATTGTGTCTCACTGAGATGAGTGGACGTCGTTAGCAAGATTTCTCAGCTTAAAGATAAGACTGGGCACAAAGGCGATCGGCGTAATCTGAACGTACATTTAGCGCTCTTTTGTTAAGTGGATTCGAGTGTTATTTTTTAGTGACATCACAACAACCTCAAGAGCTTTAGTTTACGCGAGTATTAGGCATTTAAATAACACTTTAACGGTTTAAAACGTGAAATATGTTAGTTAAAATTATTTGAATATTATTTTAATTTTTTAGTGACGCCACAACAACTTCAAGAGCTTAAAACACTGTCTGTATTGTCTGTGGGTACACATTTTAAAGCGAAATATATTAGTTATATTTCTTTGATGAATTACTACAGCACCACGGTTATCAAAATTTTCAGTTCTGAGTAAAATATGCACTATTTTAAATTTCGTATTTATTGTTTATATTTATTTGTTTTGTACATTTTTTTAGTATTACAACATAAAAGTCCTTTGGACAACAGCAAATGAAGCAATAAAAATAAATAACAATTTGAAATACCAAGCCCACTATTTGTTTAGTTATGTTAACATAACACTCCTTTCTCGATCGCAGTTTCAAATACATTTATATCAGATGTAATCGAATAAATTGCGACAACGAATAAATCGACAATATTAGTTGTCTTGTATCGACATTCATCGGCGTTGGAGACACACTCATTAGACGCACACAAACACACCATTGACGACAAATATCCTAGCCTAAGACAATGCAATGATATATAGTTCTAGATAAGACAGGCTTGGATTATAAGTGCCCATTTTACCGAGAAATAATGACGCTGATTGAGAATGTTCGGGGCTGAAAATCTGCGATTTAACATTCGGACTTTATAGAGTAAAAATCGATTATAGTCAGTCTGTAATCAATGTGATAGTTTTAGTTATTAAACCTCTTAAAACAAATTACAGACGTCTATAGATACTATTTGAATCGACAAATTACCGTGAACTATTTTAACACAGTACTAAAAATTTAAAAATGCCATCGATTGTCAATCTGATAATTACAAGTAGAATTATCTCAGTTAGGATTATTTATTTATTCTGTATTACACAACACACATAAAATTACAATGAACCAAAAAATAATATCTATAGGAGTGTAATGGGCGGACGTATCGCCAGTAAGCAATCCAGGCAACCCTTATTACTGTTTACCAAAG